TTTGTACTGAATAACACTCCTGTTATGAATAAAGACAATAAAGCCATTTCATTTCAGTCACCTACACATACTCTTTTTCCTACAAGTGCAGCATCAAGTAGAAAAAGAGCTTTAAGAACAATTTTTTTTTAAAATCTGAAATATATTAGAATGACAGCTGCTCACCTGATAATTTAGCAGGATTATATGTGAACTTCTGAGAACTGACTTAAATGGAAAAAAAATTTCTTTGATTAACTAACTATAAAACTATTACTTTCTCCTTTGGTGTTTATTAATATTTTTCTATGATTAAGGTAAAATTTACATGACAAAAAGAGCTAAGCTGGCATACTGGCATTATATTCTTATAGGAAACATACCATAATTAAGCAATTAAAAAGAAGTCTTTTTCAACAGATTGTTTAATGCATTTCAATCCAAGATTACTTTCTTACATGAAGGTCTCAGTCCTCAAAGTGTTTCTTTAACAGCACTTTTTTCAGAGGATTTAATGCTACCACCCATCTTCTTATAGAATGTTGCAACATAATGGATAATTTATTTACATTTCTGCTAATATCAAATGAAAAAAAGAAATCTCTTTTATAAATGGAAGATACAAACAGATATAATGTCAGAAGTATTTATTCACTGTTTCTGTTGTAGCTTCCATTGGGTGCCAACTTAGGGGTAACCAGTACTGACATTAGGCAAACTACAATCTCCCACATAAAACATTAAGAAAATTTACTATGAAAATGCAAATTCAAGGCTGTGTTTTGTACTGTGATGTGGACTCCAGATCTGAAATTTTTTTCTTCATTAGGCAAGTTACTACCCTTACACCAAGATAAATAAGAGCTCTGATATATGTTTGAAAATGAGAGCCTCATTTGTTTCTTATCCAAATAGCACAGTATAACAGAAGAGCAGAGTATAAAAGTTTTAGGATAGACTCCCTGACCCAGTAAAAGAAACAACTGAAATATATTTAAGACTAAACCACAGCAGAGGAACAACATGGATACCTGTATAACAGCACAGCTACCAATCAGCAAAGAAAGCAGGTGCTGTGTCCTCTGACCAAAGAAAATAGAAAACTTAGATTTAAACCCATAAAAGAATAATCTTTGCTTTAGTAAGCTGAAGGGATCCAGTGAAGCCTTTCCAGATGGAATTAAACAAAATCTTGGTTATGAGACTCAAACAGAGATATCACAAGGCAAATAGCAAGCTTTGTCCTTATAAAGAACATCTGTTGTGAAGTTGTTTACATTCCTACCAAAGTGGAGGAGGGTATCACTAATTCTCCATTGCAGCCAGGCATGTAATGGGGGAGTACAAAGTTACTGCTTAATATTTTTTAATAAACACACAGAGCTTTTCACTAACTCACAGGTTTTTTACCTGAAAAAAACAAATAGGGATTTGGGGCAAAGAGAAATATTCTCATTTCTCATGATACTCATTTCCATATCATTTTCCAGGGATTTATTTCTCAATTTCCCATTATTCTATATTTTACTCTATGAATTTTGTAGTCCATTTCCCCCCTGTTACAAGGAGGAAACAGAATGTCCATTCATGACTTGCTGAGCACTGTACTAGAAATGGAGAGCTTCCAGCCTGTGGATCAGCAGTGTGCTCTCACTCTTCCAGAGATAAAAACTAGATTGTTCTTAGCCTGAGTTCCTCAGGAAATCTGAGATAGGCCATAAATTATAGGTTTTTACTGCCTTTCACTGTTTCCCTTTTCTGTTGTCCTGCTGTAGGTTTTCAGAAGTAGTTGAGGTAGTTAAGTAGCCAGCAAGAGTAGGAGAACCAGCCCACAAAATGTTCTTGATTTACATTGAAAACATATTATTTGATGTCACCAAGTTACCCTGCTTGCTGTAATTTAACAATTTCAACAAAGATTTATATAAGAGTTAAAGCCTCAGTGTTTAGAAGTGGCATTATAAAATTAATTTTTAATAAGTCTGTGATTTTTTAATTCTGATTTATGATAATTACTCGGTTTCTCACTGTTTGTGGTTTCTCTCCAATAGAATTTCTGCTCAGCATTACATTCCAAGTGGTTAGAGCACTCTCATGTACATTTTTGTTTTTAACATATACACACATACACACATATATAGGCTATTTCCTGTAAAGGAAATAGCACTTCAGTACTGAATGCAAAATGACAGCTGTGAATTTGTGCCACAGAACAATTTGACTTTATTCCTTCATATGAGGTAGACAAAAGGTAGATAAAATACAAAGACCACCAAGAGCAAAGGAAGACCAGAGAGATGTAGGTTGGTAAGGTTTGCTATAAATAAAACTATTCAAAAGTAAACAGTGTAGTTTGTATATGGAAAAAATAATATTAACAGTGCTTAAGACCAAAAGACAAAATTTATTTGTAACTCTAGTCCTACAATTTCTAGTTCTTTTTATGCATTTCTTATGATGAATACCATATTGTATCATTTTTTACCCTGCCACTTCTTAACTTTTCCTCTATTTTTTGGTTTTTAAAAAAACAATTTATGAAACAATCTGTGTGTATATGATTTAGAAATAAATTACAGTAATAATTTTTATAGTGTCTTGAAATTACAAGCAAAATCTCTCTTTTCTTCTTCCTACACAAGAGAAGAAACTTGTAGAAGAAACTTTACTATTAGCACAGCAGCCTGATTACGAAGGACAATTAGTAATTTTGAAGAACACTAAAAAGACATGACCTGATTACAGCACAGTGATTAAGATACAGATATAGATTAAGATTAGGATGCACTGATATGACCAACAGAATGAAATTAAAGTCACCTTTCTAGCAGCAAGCGATCTACTAAAGATCTTATGCTTTGCAGAAGTTGGGGTTGAGTGAAGGTAATGTCTGTTTTACTTTTATCCTGAATCATTCAGGTTTGTGCCCTTTCCATGGGAGCCAGCAACTGCACACCTTTGATCCTGGACTTGATCCTGATTCTGAAACTGCTGGTGTATGTTTCATGTGTGTGGTTAAATTTGCATGATCCTGTGTTATTATTGTGAGTATTGTACCATATAAAAATCAAGCACATGGCAAATCGCTGCAGGAGTCAAAAGCTGTGAAGCTTAATGTCAAATACTTGTCCCACTGAATTTTTTTTCTGTAGGGAACTCTTAGAGAACTGTTAATCGTGCTGAATGGTCATTCTCAGACAGTGAGAAGTGCAGTTGGAGTCAGACTCCTCTTTCTGGGGAGAACAGCTCCTTTGCCATAATTAGAGGCGCTGAAGCACCCTCCACAAAACACAGTAGTTCCTTTAATAAGTGGCACTGAACTCTATCCCAGCCTACAGCAGCCTTCTCAGCTTCAAACACAAAAGCAGTCAAGTCTCAAAAACTTCAAAGACAGCTTTTCATTTGATTTTCTCCTTGATCCACTGATAGAGCAGTTCATTTTCTTGAATTTTGTAAAATGACTTTTCACTCATCAGACCTGTGTAACAAATCACTGTCTCAATCACCAAATGTTCTCGTTTGACTCATCTGCTTTTCCTTTGGCCTTTGGGTAGGAAGATTCACTTCTGAAACATTTTCTAAATTCACTTTGGTGAACTCTTCCCCCTTAGTTGCACTTTGTGCCATTTAAAAAAAATAATTTCATTTCCTTCAATGTAATGTGCTAGTTTCAGGGTTTTAAATTTCATCAGAACACACGTTTTCTTTCTTAGAGCAATATCTTTACTTTAAAAAACATCATTTTCTAACACACTACCAGCTGTAATATGGTGCCTTTTAAGCAGTAAATGCTATAAAATTTTTCTAGAATTCTGTTGCATTTTGCTAACTTAGAACAGGTTTTTCATTAATGATACATTTATACTCTCACGTATATTGTTTTGGTTTTTGATGGTCAAAGATTTTCTAATTTCTGAACTTTGCTGCTGCAGTCTATGCTAAGACAGTATCTTCTCTGAGGAAAACTATAACACAGGACTGTCAATAATCCTAATATTTTTCAGGGTTAAAAAGGCTGGAAATCTATAAAGTTTTATTCCTCCAGGCTTTTTCTGCCTCGAAGCAAATAGGCAAACTTCGCACAGTTATTCTCCACAGGGAATGTAGTCAATCCTTTCCCAAGATGTAAAAGCAAGCCCTGTAATGTGAATTATATTTTCAACCAGGTGCTTACATTTCCAGGTGTACAATCCAGTATCGTACAAACCAGAACTTTGCAGGAAGTCAGAGAACTGTAAATTTTTACACAATTATGCTCCAGAAGAGCATAAAATGGGCTGTGTTGTGATCTTTGCTTATTGGGACTACCTGGAACAGAAGCACTGCCCATTTTACACTCATGGTGAAATGCAGCTGAGCTAAATCTGATCACTGTAAATTCCAGAGAGTCAACTTGACCATGTTCTCCTGTGTGAGAGCAGTTTTTATTGCTTTTATTACTCTTACTTCTTAGACATTAATCTTCAAAAGACAAGTAAAGCTGAGCAGATATAACATTTAGAGAGGATGGTGATCACTGCACAGAAAAAGGAAGAGGTAGAGAAAAAGCAACTTCTGAATGACAGAAAACCAGCATGGAGCACATGGTCCTAGAGAATTAAAGTCAGAGTTGTTTGACTAAAACCCCCCAGATCCTGAGTCAGAACCAGCTTGACAGATGTGCCCATCACCATGTTTGACATGATTCAGTGTCATCTGTCTTTTTCCTTACCAAACATCTTCTGCTCCTACCATGCTGCTTCCCTGCCTGCGTGTTCCCATTCCTTGTTTTCCATGTGGGCTCCCCCGCCCCTTCACTCACATTCCCCTCTGCTTGATGTTTGCTCTTGCCACCCATTCTGCAAAAAGTGTGGCAAACCCTCACCTCGCTCTCTGTCCCTGTGTTCCCTCAGCCGTGTCCCCAGACCTCTGTCCCAAGCCCAGGGAGGCCGAGGCCTGAGGGCAGCGCTGTGGGGACGTTCCCAGAGCCCTCACAAAGAGCTCAGCCCACAGAGCCCACAGAACCCCCGGAGAAGCCAGGAATGAACCTGAACGCTTTGTTCCAGCAAATACAGTTCACGGAGAAGCAGGCGAGGGAGAAGAGGAGCTTCATCCAACAAGGTCGGCCATCCTGAGGGGCCTCCCCATTCCCACAGGGGTGTCCTGAGGGGACTCGTGCCGGGGAAAGCTTGGCACAGCCAGCGTGGCTGGTTCTTGCCACCAGCACATTTCTATATGGGTGTAACAACTGAGGATTTACAAACTGAGCGCATACTCTTACAGGTTTTTGTTGTCTTGCAGCTAAATGCGACATAAATAGAAGTTATAAAAAAATTAACCAAATAAAAGAAGAGCTGAGCGCTGCAAAAGTTAACTTAGAAACCAAGGTGAGCAGGCATATTTATAGTGTATATAATAATGAAATACATTCTGTTTACAAATACACAACCTATTCTTTCAGGAATAAGCACTTTCGAGGAGTGTGCTTCACCTGCTGATAGCACAGTGTGGAGAAACCTGCACTGGGCCTTTCTGAATTAAAAATGTGTCCATCAACATCCTTCCTCCCACAGATCTCACCCCTGGGGCTGGCCCTGGCTGTGTTCAGGGCAGGCTGTCTTTAGGGGCCATACCCTGTTTCAGCAGTCCTGCAACTTGTTACAGCACTTTCCTCCAGTGTGCAGAACACATCCCTTGGTTGTCCAATGCCATTTATTAATGGCCTTTCACAGAAAATATATGGAAACATTCCCTGTGTTTATTTCACGGGTTCTTGAGTCACATACTGAAGATCTTTCTGTGAGCTTCCAGTTAAGGCTTACAAGCCCTAAGTGTTTTTCTAGGGAGGCCAAAGACAGAGGAAAGTTTCTGAATCTATTTAGTGATTTTATATACTCTTTCCATTTAATCAAACTGCAGATGTATTTTCAGATTAAGCCAGAGTTTTTCACTGACAACACCTGTAGTTGCGAATTATTTAAAAATCCATTTGCTTGTGTCTGAAAATTAAGTCTAAATACCCTCCCCTGTGCTGTTAAGTATCTGTGCTGACAGAATGTGTGTTCACAACAGGAAAGCATGTGGAGCCTCCTTTGAAGTCAGAGCTGTTGGATCCTATCATTTAAATAAACAACTTCAAGGACCTTTGGGAGATTGCCTCATCTAGTTGTGAAAATAAATGTTTGGGGGATGACTTTCATCCTTCCTAAAACAGTTTCTTCTGCCTTTTGTAATGGACTATATAATATATACATATATCAACATTGCTGAGAAGGGATCAGAATAGAACTCATTTACAAATATTTACTGGTTGCAAATTGAGACTATAATCACGCAGGCAGTTATTCAGACACTCACATTTATGCATGCCACAATCTCAGAGCCCAAAGGTGCTTTAAAATAGTAACTTATTTATCCAACACAGATTATATCTGGATGTTGCTTGTTAGGTGCAGTCCTCAGTAGTCTTACTCATAAGTTTATTTATGAACATCACAATTTTATGTTTATACTACTAATTTGTTATTGATGCATTGTGATTTATAATCCAGGTTTATGTGACAGGTACAGAAGGTTCCGAGACTAGAGCCATTATTGTAAATTACTAATGGGAAGAGCTGAAGAACTATTTCTAATTAAATTTTATGTGCTTTACTGACCAGTATTAATTATATTCTCACTGATGTCCACAAAAATACATTTTACTTGCTTTCCTAGTCTGACATTGATTCATTTATAGATAGGAAATGATACAGAACAGTAGTGGAATAGAAAAATACATTTCAATCAGACTGTATTTAGGGTTAAAGATTATATAGTTATTGACATTATTTAAAGTAATTTATTTTTCACTACAGGAATTAGCTTTACATATGTCTGCAATAGTTCATGTAATTCAAATAATATTAAATAATGCTGTTCAGCTAATGCTGTTCAATTTATCCCACACCAAATAACTGCAGTTCTTTACAAGCACACATATCCAACCACATGCATGCTCAGCAGCTGATGCCTGACCAAGATGATGAGAGTGAGTTCAGAAGTTTTTTGACATCTATTTCACAGACACTGCCTGTGGTCAATCAAAGAGTCCTAGGAAATGCATTTTTTCCCTCTCTTCTCTAAAATCAGGTAGCATGTAATTAGAACCCAAATTACAGCATTTTGCTGTTTGTAGCTCAATGGCTTCTTTTAAAAATTGATTGCAAATGCACAGATGAATTTTGGCATCTTGGAGAAACTACACTGAAGGTAGTTATGTACAGTATTACAAATACAATGATGTAAGACCACCTACTCTCTTTGAATTCATATGTAAAATAAATTCTGAGCCAAGCATGACCTGCACACTTAGCATGCTGGATGCATCAGGGATGAGGAAAAAATCTAGTCCTTTCCTTTCCAACTCTCACATTGCAGTCTTTGGGCATTTCTTTCCACTATCCTCTTTTGATCAGATGCACTTCATCTGTGCCCTCTCCACAATCATGTGCATTATTTAACTTTAAAATATTTTCATTTTTACCACTGTAATACCATTCTTATTTGGTCTTTTCTGCTTCTACACACACAAACACTCGTGAATCAGCCTGAATGTTCAATTAAATTCCTGATGCTTGCCCTGTGCCTTTACTTTCCGTGGGCAAATCTTAACTTTGCTTTCCCTATTCATTGCTCTGAGTCAAGAGAACTTGACACTCCACCAAAAGAATGATTCTCCTCCTTTAAGACTCTACAACACTTAGCTGCTTCCTATTTGTTATTGTTATAGTTTATCCCACCACATATCTGCACTTTGGTAAGATGATGATGCAGTAGATGTGCTAGAAAAACGAGAAGTCTTCAGCAAATTTTGAAAGTGCAGTGGTTGAACAGCATACCCTCCTAACAGATGAACTAATGGTTAAAAGTAATAAAACTCTAAATAAACCTAGGTGCAAAATTGAGTTTTAGGGCTTAGGGGGTTTGTGATCAAACTGTCAATAACCAGTGAGCTAATTCCCATTACCCTTCCTCAGCTAAAAATTCCAGAAATTGTGCTCAGAAAAATATCCCACTCTCCTTTGCATACTCCATAGTAGCATTGCAGAGTGGATGACATGTACAGCCATTCAGCCAAAACCAGGATGCTGGACCCCTGTCCTCCTGATATTATTCTGACATTATTGTCTCATTTGGTTTGTGAGATGGAGGACGCTGGATTATGTTGGCTAAAGGATCCCATGTGGTCAATATTTTTCCTGAAAAAAAATTCTTCTAAACCTAGCAGATTTTAAAATGCCATTTTAGATAGACAGAGCACCATTAAATGAGTCTTTCACAGAAAGGAGACTTTTCAAAATCTTAACAGTATACTGAAGGGTTATTGAGGGAAAAAAAAGAGCTGTTATGCTTTTGTTAGTCCAGCAGCTGTGCCAGCTCTTTTTAAATTAGGCCAAGATCTTTGTGTACAATTTCAGAGTATATTAAACAATTAAACAATAACTTCATTTTTTTTTCTTTTGGAAGGTTCAGCATCTTTCTGTAAAGCAGTTCAATGTAGAAATTCTGAAGAAACGTGAAGACAGCTTAGAAAAACAAAAAGCTGAACTTATTAATCAAAGAACCAGTCTTCTTAAAATCATGGTATGTTTCCAGCTGTGATATTCACACAGCTCTTTTCTACTGTACGAGAGCAATCAGCTTTAACATTTGAAAATCTGGAAAAGCTAATGTCTTAATCAGGAAATTTTTACTGTTTTTTTTATAGCAGTATATGTAACAACGTAAACTTAGATAAATTCTCACATTTCATTTAAACCATAATCTAAGGTAGTGTATGCTGCATTTTACCTCCAAAGCTGATTTTATATTCATGACTTAATTTTTTAATGTTTGCTGTTGTATGAGTGAACCCCAATTCTGACAGATTATTTCCTTTGTAAAAGTAAGCTACGGAAGCCTCACCTTAAATTGGATTGCCTCATCCACAGTAAAAATATTGAAAAGGATCAAAAAAAACCCCAGGGAGGCCCACACCGCATTTTAGCAAATATGGACAGTTTAGCAATCCTGACATAGCACACAATCTCTTTTACGCCAGACACACCTCACCACCTCTTCAAAGGCAGCTACTTACAAGTTTTCCAATTCTCTCAGATGCTAACCTGAATATTGCCTTCCTCTTACTTTGTTGAGGCTTCTTGGATCTGTACATATGAAGAAATGCCACAGAAGAGCAGTCTTTTCTGCATATGTATTTGCCCTTTAAATCAGCAGAGCTAAATTTCAAACATTCAGTACAAATCACCAGTATTATACCTAAATCTTTAGACAGATATCTTTTTAACTTTAGTCATAGTTCTGCATCACCCAAAGTATTCCCAGTATATGTGTGAAGTTTGATATATAAGTTATCTTTTCTTTTTTCCTATTTATAGTGGAAATTTCATTTTATTTAATTTAGCCACCAATCAAGACTTCTTAGAAGAAATTTAATTTTAATTTTGCATATTTTTTCCTAGAAAATTGAACTGTGATTTTCTATCAGCAATATTTTAGAAATTTAATATAGAAATTTAATATAATTTAATAATTTTAGAAATTTAATATAACCTTACTCTTTTGCATATTTTTTCCTAGAAAATTGAACTGTGATTTTCTATCAGCAATAGCATTCTTGGTAGTTATAGTGGGAGTTAAAGTACATCTGCATTCTGCAGAGGGTTAAACAACACTTTTATTTAGTTTAATAACAACCTGCATAAAAAGAGCTGCCATACTAAGCTAGTGACTTTGAACAGAATTTTCTAATTTCAATATGAGAGTTGAACTGAAAATCTGCTGGTTCAATTTTATAACATAATGTAGTGATTTTTCTAAAATGCCGTTATCAAGAACAGACCCTTCATTTCTGCAGGAAAAAAAAAGTTTAAAACAACAGGCACAATGGTAGAGCTATAGCTTATTTTCATGCTCTTATAAGAAAAAGTAAATATTTTCTTTACTTTTAAATTTTAAAATTTTATTTACTTTCCTACTACAAATTTAAGGATAAAAAACAACAGTGTGTTGTTTTTTGTTAAGCTGCCTAGCTTAACAAAGACTTTCACTTTTTTCACTTGACTATTCAGTCTTCCCTTTCTTTTTTCCAGGCAGATGCAAAGAGAAAAATTGCTGAAGAGGAAGATAATTTTACCAGAGAAATAACAGAGTTTAACAATGAATATGGACTAACAAGTAATAGAGATCTTCATGTTAAAAAGAAAGTCAAGACTGAAATAAATGATTTAGAGAATGAGGCAGCTCTGTTGAAAAATGGTAAGTCTTATATTAAAGCAGTTTATCTTGGATTAACACAAATTGATAAAATACAGCTGTTTAGCACTGAACTGAAAGAGTGTGGTCTGACATACCAAGCATAATTAAAGGCTCTTCTGTTCCCTATCCTCTTCAGCCTTTCTGACGTGAGCACTGTGAGGAGAAGGAACCAACCTAAAAAGGCATCTCCCCATGTCTAATTCAGCCAGCACAGAGCTCATGGTCGTACAGAGCCACTGAATTAGGATTAGAATCACCTATGGTCGAGCATTTCCTTAGCTTCAAAAGAATTGTATACATAGATGTCCATTGGTTCTTCACTGCCACAGTGTAGCTTGATTTTCAGTTAAGGTACAGAGTATGGGATCTCTCAGAGCACAGGGTCACACTGCAGGGCAGCCCTTCCGCAAGGAATTCGGGGTCGTCATGGATCACAGCTAAACATGAGTCAACGACATCAGAAGGCCAACACCCACTGAGACACAAACAGAATTCTGACCTCTAACACATGAAAATAATTCCTCACTATTTGGGGCCGTTAAGTTCTGAACTGGAGCACTGTGCATCTCATTTTCATCTTAAATTTAAAAAAAAAAAAAAGTGTGGACCAGCTGGAGAGAATCCACATAGGATCAGTGAGAGTGATCAGAGTTCTGGAGCCCATGATAAAGAAGAAAATGAAAGAACTGTGACTATTTAAGCTATTAAGGAAAAGACTGATGAAAGATGGATATCAGGATTCAAATTGCATAGGTATCCTGTAGAAAGGAAATAAATATATTCTCTATACCTGTAGTGAACTGAATATAAAGTAACAAGTGTAAAGCACAATAGAGGAGAGTCTGTATAACAACTTAGGAACCTTTCTAACAACAGTGGACAACTGAAGCTCTCTGCCTTAGAAGATTCCATTACCAAAGGAATTTGGAGTGTCCATTACCAAAGGTTATGAAAAATAAAAGATCAAACCAGCACTTTTCAGAAACAAGAGGTACAGCTGATCCTGCCTTCAGGAGAAGAATGCAGTAGATGACCCCTCAAAGTCCATTCCAGCCTCATGATCTGTCAAGCAACAGCACTTTCAATTCCCCATATCTGCTGTAAAGTTACTGAAAAATTATTGTCCATTGGAGTTTGCACTTGGTAACACCTTCTATCTTATTTCCTGTGGCTAAGATACTAATCTACAGCTGAAAAGTCTGCATTTGGTGTCAAGTGCTACTTTTAGCATTTAATTTTTTACATAGGCAGGCAGAGCTGGGCAGTTAAATGATCAGTAGTACCTGAAGGGTGACCAAAATTCTTCTCTAAGTTCAGTTGCCATCTCAGTTCCATCCTTTAATTGCACCTTTCTTGAGGCACAACCTGTCTGTCTTTTTGTTTGCTATACTCCTGGGCACACTGACAACTCTGAAGTGAAAAGTTTAAGCAACTCCAAACAAGGAATTATGTCAGGACCTCCAATTGGTAGAAAAACAATCACAATTAATTCCAGATGCTGTCTAATAGTAAGGTTCAAATATATATAACACCAAAAATACTAAGAAGGGTTTTTTTTCAGTCCTGTTGAGAGGTGTCTGTTCTTCACCTATTCAATCAGTCATCTTCCTTTCTTTATAGCTGAATTAACTGTAAAGAAATACATTCTTTTTATGCCCAGACAACAAAATCTGTTGAACAGCTCAATAACATTAAAAAAATCCTTTTCTTTCAGAGCTATGAATACATTATATGACAATTTCCTGTAAACTGTGTTATATTTGAATTATTTTTGTTTATTTTATTTTATATTTAAGGTTCTTTTGACTAGCTGAAGATTGGTAGAAGTAGTTAAGAATATTTAAGATTGTATCATGAATGCTAAAACTGCAATGCATTTTAATTTAAAGTGCATTTTTTCTTAGAAATGGAGTCAATGGAACATAAAAATGTTCAGTTAAATGCACTCCAGCTGCAGAAGAATGAATTAAAGCAGGATTTATTTACTCTCCAAAGTGAGCTCAAAGGTGTGCCTGATAACCATTTCTTGTGGTAATTATTTCTGGCTTGATAAATGCTTTTGAAATATGTTTTCTGTCAATTTTCTCAAGCAAAACGAGTCATAGTAACAATATTTTAATTTATTTTTACAATATGTAATACATCATTTTTAAACATGATTATAACAAATATTATGGATTTCAATGAGAGTTAATTTAAATGTCATTGCTACTGAGGTCCAGAGATCTGCTGAATCATGAGCTGTAAATATCAAAGAAAGTTTTGCTTTTGCTGATAAGTCATATACTTAAATGTAGAATTTAATGTTTCAAAGAACTTAAAATCAACATAAATATTGTTTAAAATCTTCTGTATCAAAGGTGACCACAGCAATAGGGAATACTTTGAAATCTGAATTAAAATAATGTAAATGAGTGCTTTAGTATCTTTGTTTACCAATATCTAAGTAACGTGTCACAGTAAGAGCTAAGAAAAGCAGTAAATATGGTCCTAAATTGTTTGGGAAAAGGAATGAAATTTTCTAGATTGCAATATGTGATTACAATAATGAAAAAAAAAATTAATTTTCTTTATTTAGATGCCTCTGCCCTTCAAAGAGTTTCATGAAGAAATATTAGAAAATATAAATTTAGAATATGTAGAAGGTCTTTGAGTATGGATGATTAATATATATTTATAGGGTAATTCTGATTTCATGTTTAGACCTTGAGAAAGTAATCAGGGAAGCAGAAAGAATGACAAAAGATTTAGAAGCAGAAAAAGTCCAAGTCACTGAAAAACCTCAGACTGATCCTGAATGTTTAAGGTAAAGGCCTCACATTATTTAGTTGTTAATTTAATTTTAGGAGTGTAACTGCAGCCTGGTAACAATGACTATTTTACCCTTCATGTACAATATTCTGTCTGAAATCAGCAGAGCCATTCATTTTATATTAGTCAGCCCCAAGACCTGTTGTTGATTTCAGCATTTCACCCTCACATACACTCCCCAATGAACTCAAAACTGCAAGTGTTTGCAGGGGTGTCAGTGAAGCCAAGAGCAAGCACCAACTGCTGCTACTTGGGTGGAAGATCCTGAGGTCCTGTAAAAATGGTGGTGGTGCACAAAGTACTGAGGAACTGCCCAGTGCTAAATGCATTTCTGCTGCCTGGCTGTGCAGGGCCCATTGCAATGGACTGGGCTGGCCACAGTAACCTCCTTGGGTACCTGGGCCTCTATTGCAGCAACTAAATGCAGACTTGTTTTCTCTATGTTCTCTGCTACCTAGTTTGCCTTCTAATTAAGCTGGTCTGAAAAAAAATTGAAGACTTGACCAAGATAGAAGAGAAGACCTTGCACAGTCTCTCTTAACAGAGAAGTTGTCCTCTCAGGAATTGAGTGGTGACACTTCATTTCTTGTCAGTTTGCTTAAGTAAAACATTAGGTTTTCACTTCACAGAAAATAATGTAATTTTTTTTGTTTTTTAAATCTCCAAATGCGGAAAGCCCCATACCACAGAATTGACCACCCTTTTGCTATTTTATAATAGTCCAGATGGAAGTGCCTGGGAATATTTAAAAATAATTAATAGACAGTGCAAAGGAACTCCTCTTTATAAAAGATTCTCTAACAAAAATCAAGGAAAACGCGACTTATATTACCATCACAGGTTTTTTTCCTATATATCCCTAAGCTTTTGACAAAAATAAGTAAATATAGTGGGGATTTTTTTAATCTGAAAACTTTCAATGGAAAGTTACAACTTTTCAGAGAACCCTGAGCAATTTTTTGAAAGACGATTTGGTAATGACCCATTTTTTGCTGAATATCGGTTTTTGAAAGAAAATGATATATCAGCCCTATTACTAACTCTCTTCAACCTCTTATACAGTGTTGAGACATGGCCAAAATCCCCTCAGCATAAAAATTAATTAGCTCACAATCCTGCATACAGTAGCAAAAAATTTGCATTCAACATATTCATAGAAGACACAGTGTAAATAATAATAACAGTAACGATTCTCCAGGACAGCACATTATATTTCACTCCTTTACATTATTTATTCAATCATGATATACTGGGGTTGGTGATACACGAGGCTGTCAGCTTCCTTCCAACTAACATACTTCCCATGCAATAGTTTACTGCCAAGATGCCACTGAATATCCAAATTTGTGTAATTAGTTTTCCATAGTAGGTTTCCTGTGTGGAAGGTACAGAAGTAGCCAGCATTATCATACTTTTAATTCCCAGCTTTGCCACTGAGATCCTAAGGATCAATCAAATCTATGTGTCTCTTTCTAGGCAATGAAATTAACTCACAGCTCTTCAGAACAACACTTTGGTTTTCTCTGGGTGGAAAACGGGATAAAACATATTAAATTATATTAACTGCAAAATCAGCAAGTGTCATTTACAAACAAGGCAAGAAAGGTGATGAGATTTTCTTATTTCATGAAATGCCTCCTTCTGTGGTCAAGATAAGCTAACATTATTTGATAATTGCATGCAATGCAAAATTTAAAGTGTTCCTATGCTATTACCACAATCACAAAATGCAAGCCCTTCTTGAAGTCTAGTTATATCCTGAACACATTTTCTTAAAATTGAAACATTTTTTTCATTTCAGATACTGAAAAAAGTTTAACACAGATTTGCCTAAATCATATTTTTATCTTGCACTTGCTTTTGATCAGAAAAGCTCAATGCTTCATAGAGAGAGATAGCCCTGAAAAAGTTAACTCAGATGCCAGAAGCAATAGAGTGGTGCTGCTGTATTTCCATGTCAGCACTAATAGATTCTGCTTTTCTGTGGAGCCAAGCAGACAATCCTCATTTGTCTGCCTCTCTATGTCACTGCTGGACTCTTTAGAACCACCCCAAACTTTACCAGACTCCTACAACTCTAGCAGTTGTTGGGGATTTTTTTCAGTTTAACAAAGCCTACTCATCACTTCTTGGTTTGAACTACTGAATTAAGAGAATGAAAGGGGATTTAAAGTATTAGACACTGTAAATTGTGCAGCACATAAATAGTCCCCTGGAGGGTATCTGATCACTCTGGTACCTCTGTGTCATCAAGAGGATGGAGCCAGAATCTGCACAGTGCTGCACAGTAAGAGAACAAAAGGCAAAAAGAGAAAGTTGAAGCAAGAGGATTTAGAGTGAATTTAAGGAAAAAGCATTTTTATCATGAGGAGGCACAGTTTGCTTAGAGAGGTTGCATAGTTTTCATCCTTGAAGGTTCTCCTTCTTGAGACACACTCATATACTTGTGTATATCTTAGCAGGAGTCAATTTTGGTCATGTTAAAATCAATGTGATTGAGTCTTCTGTGTCTGAGAAACAACTCTTTTTAGATTAACAAGATTAGGTTTTTTTATCCCCATACAGAGTGTATTGCAAGAATAGAATTCTAGTTTTCACTGAAAATCATTTTTATTACACATAAAGATATTTTGACACGTGTAATGTGGGTCAGAAATACCTTTTTTTCCCTATAAAATAGCACAAAATCTGCTGTTATTTTTTACAGAAATGGAAATCACACCACCTTAAGTGGTAAAAATACTTTTTTTTTTGATGCTTCCTTAGAACAAACATGAGAGACAGTCAGCATCAATAACCTGATATATGTAGCTCCCAGATCACTCTGCAAGTCTGTTACTGTATCACATCCCTAGTCCCAGCTTAAAAATCAATATCAAAAGTAGCTGGCAAGGCAAGAATCTTCATTGCAATTAAGTATATATCTAAAAGTAAATTGCATTTCAGCTGAACAGCGTAGCCAGCTAATTCAAATTACAGCAATTCATCTTTGATCTGAGAAAAATGCCCCATACCACGTCTGCAGTTTCATAAAATTTCTCTGAAATCCATCAAAGAATTGCAAAGGGTCATGAGAAGCACATACCAGTAATTCCAGCGGCTGTTGGAGCTGCCGTAGAGGCTTGTCCTGATCCACACTGGATGCAGAAAAAATCCAACCAGAATTGGAACGTTAAGCACAGATGTAATTAGCAGGCACCTTGGAAAATGCAAGTCTTATGATACAGGTGCATAATTCAGAGAAATTTTTAAGAAAATATGGTCTTTTCTTTTTTCTTGGATTTTTTTTTCTTGTTTTGGGTTTTGAGTTTGTTATTTTTTTGTTTTTCCCTAAAGAGAGCTGCAATTAAGATCAAAAGCCTTGTTTTAATCATCTGTTCTGCCAATGCCATTCTCAAACACAAAACAGCAGGAAAGAACTTTGGCATCAGCTCTCTGGAGTCCCATTTCCCTGGCAGGTAGCAAGTAACATCACTTAAGTGGAACAATGCAGGAGTCAAACAGACACTAACTGATACCAGTAAATTCCTAACTGTGGCATTTCATTGTTATATTCACTGTAATTACTGTATTAATTATTTATCCTCTTTCACATTTTAATTTTAAATTTTTTGTGTTGCCTTAAGTAAAACAGCCTAGAAATAATTCTAGTTGAAGTTCATTTAGACTAAAACCAGAGCATTTCTACCTAAAATAGATATCTTTAAACCTTTTTAAAAGGTAGAATGAAGATAAAATGCTTCTTTGAAACCTGAATTTCTCTTCTACTTGTACAGAAAAGAAATAGCAGAAAGCAAATGCATGAAATCTGCTTACTTTGTAAATAGTTCACAGCTTTGTATACATATCTAAATCCTAAAAATATAGTATTCCTTCTTATTCTTCATTGTCCAGAAAAAGAAACACTATTACCAAAATTAGGAAGGAAAAAGTAATTTTTTCTTTCATACATATCACACAGGAAATATATTCTTTAGAGCTCAACAAATTGTTCATGCAAACAACAAACTGCCTAAGCCCCATGCATTCTTCTGGTGGGTTAAATTTGTTTTTGCAATTTAATTTTATGTTAAATTTTATAATCAGAAAATATCAGTCTCTGGAGTAATATATGTGGTTCAAAATGAGTTTTTCAATGGCAATCTTCTCATTGATTTTTTGAGCTTTTCTTTTTAATAGCAGTGCCTAGTGGAACTATTATAGCTTGAATTATGTTAAAATAGCTTTCCATTATGAATTGCAGAATGGATTTACAAAAAGCAGATCAAATCTGACTAATTATGTCTTTCTTTGATAAGACAACAGATATGTTAGACAAAGAAAATTCCACTGTCATCCATCTAGACATTTATAAAGTATTTGATGCTATCCCACATGGAAAAAAACTAGTTAACCTAGGGAAGACATATTAAAAAAATTAAGTAAAGACATGTGTAATAGTAACAACAGTCATAGTCTGCAATTTAAAATTCTGGGACTTGAAGGTAACAACAGTCACAGTTGGTCCTGCTTAATGTTTTAATTAATGATTTAGAATGCAAAGTGTTTCAAGACGTTATCTTAAACAATTAAACTCTACACCTTGCAGAAGAGTCACTAAAAAGAGGAAGAATGTGATTGTACACCATGTAAGTTTATCTACTTGTACACAATTAGGGACTTCAATAACAGGTACCTGGAAGCAGAGAGGTCTGAGCATACTGTGTGTGCAAAATACAGCTATAAACATCAAAAGAAAATATAGCTGTGCACGAGATAAAAAAGTTATTTCCAAAAAAATACCAGGAGGGTGTAAGAATACTTTGTAGAAATCTTTCACCTACTTGTCAAAAAAGATTCATTCAACCTGGAAGATGAGCAGAGCATAGAAAGCCCATAAAGCAGAATGAAACAAGGACCACTCTAAATCCTTTTTAGCTCTGAGTTGATTATACACATGAAGAAAGCAGTACAAAACAGAGACACTAACTTCAGCAATACAGTAGGCATATTAATATACCTAGATTAAGATCTAGTTTTCTTTGTCCAATAGATAAATCAAGATCATTGAACCAGAAGAACAATTGACCCCTATTTACTTTCCCTGCCTTTCAATAGAAATTTTATTGACCTCTAGAAACACATTTCATTTCACATCTCACATACATGCTTGTATATTTTTTTCTTTCCTGCGTAGCTCATTCTTACAGTTCCAATGAAAAGTAATCTTTAAAGCAAACTTTAGTTTGCTGTCTGCACAAAAGCAAATCTCATCCTAGACGTGCAATTTAATTTAGTGTGCCTTAACCTTTCCATGTTTATTCACCTATTATTATATATTCCTTAAATATGTCTTGTGATGGTTTATGTATTTGGAAAATACCACCACACTTTTCAAGACCTCTAACTACTCTTATTAATAGGTGAAAGCATTCACAAAATGGAAACGTTAATCAAAAGTAACTATGTATTTTACATTTAACATTTTATCCAGGACAGCAAAAGCAGAAAATTTCTTATTTTACTTAAGGTAGATAAATTTCTTTTCATTTGCATTTAAATTTCCATTCTTATGTTGTCTAGTACCTTCCTTGTGTCCAAGTTTCATCTTCTAGTTAGACTTCATTATTACTACTAGATCACTTGCTTAATTTTATTATCCTTCTGCTCCATCAAGCACAGACTTTTATATTTAATTGTGTAACTCAAGTACTTGACTTTATATTTTGGGATACTGTATTCCATTTAGGATTTGTTTTATCTCTTCCTCAATCAATTGATAATAGTCTGAAATTTATTGACTTCTCCAACTGTATCAATAGCATATTCTGTTTAGTAGTGTCAGCAAATTTTAAATACCAGCAAAATCTTGCTCTCACTGTAGAAACATACACATGCTTTAAACCCAGTCTTGAACTGACAGAATTACCTCAATGTCTTACCTCTACTTGAGCTTGAGACAATAAACTTAAGTCTTCAATACTTTTCTTCAGTCCCAATAAAGTTTTAAAACATTGATAAATGTATCTCCTGATGTTCATGATGAAATCCCAGAAAAATCAAGATATGTACTCTCAAGTTATATATAGCTTCTTAAGGAATTTCATTTTGTACTATGGAGCCTATGCCCTGTATATCAGTGTCAAACAATTCTGTTTTATAACACATCACAATGTTTTCCCTCCAATTTATGACTAAAAAATAAAATGGTGGTCGTAAACAAGGCAAAGACAAAAAGGAGAATACAGAAAAAAATTTGTAGTTGTGTCAGCTGAACATAACTAAGAGACAGTCTGCTCCTCCTGCAATTCCAACAACAATTAGGTAGAGTCTTTCAGCCCCACTAGAAAAAAAAATACTCTAAAATCAGATATTAACCCTACCTTCTACAGAAATTATTTCTCCTTTAAGACCTCTTTACAGAAAATTACTCTTGGAATGCAAGCTTTGGATACTAAAGCCTTGATCCAGGAATTTGAATCTATGGATGATTTGCAGAGAGACCTGTTTGACAATAACATTATTTTCTTCATAGTTCAATTTATAATACTAGCATGTATTGATTTCAAATTATTTTTCCTCTTTGCCACGTGCATATAGAGGTGAAATTCAAGAAGAATGTGTATCAACCACAAATGCCAATGACATTTAATAGCTGGGCTCATTTCAGAGCTGCAAAATCGATCATCTTCAGTGATCTCCTCCTTCTTCATCTCTGTCACTTCTAGCATTCAAGACTAATGGAAAATGGGCCATTGATAGCAGAGCTCAGTCTAGGACAAGATCGCATCCAAAAAATGCTGATGTTGTTTTCCCACCTACTTGATTTAAGGCTAGGTTTAGCTATTGCAAATGTGGCATTTCAGCTCCAGCTGTTCATTAGAGCTACGATACTGTAACTTGCCAAGACACTGTTAGTCCAGTGCAATGACTTATTTTAAAGCTATATTTTATTGTTAGCAAGGAGAACAAAATGCTAAAAATAAAGCAAAACCAAAGGACATGGGGAACCAAATGCTAATGTGATTTCTCAGATTATTTTTCCTAAGAGATCTGCCTTTTTTCATAGTCATAAAAAGGGTATAATTGTCAAATTAATCCTTGTTCTAGCAAAAGTTACACCTTTTCCATTTTCAAAGGTGACAGAAAACCTGCCTTCCATCGAGACAGTATAGTTTCATGAATAATTGGTTTGCACATTCAATCTGATAATGGAAAGATGAATATGAATATCCTGCTTATCTTAAATGTAAAATGAAAAGACTGAATCTGCTTTCAGGTTAAACATTTTTTTTTTAGTAGTTCCATTGTCTCACATTCCTTCTGGTAAAACTTCATCATTTATTCAGTAACTCAGGCGTCTCCAATGCATTAATTTTGTAGACTGTAACCTAACAGACAGCTCTTATTTTGTGAGTATATTATTCCTGGCACATACTGTAATTATCTAGCTTCTAAATATGAAAGAAGGAAGACCTGAAAGCAGAATCAATTGATTAATGTAAGAATTAAACACCACATTTGAATGAATGTCTTGTATCACCACTACCTGATGCTATGTAAGGAATTGTGCTGTCGCTACACTTAAAAGTCTTATAAAATATTTGAAATGAAATTTTAAAATCCATACACAAAATGTTACGTCTAAAGCACGTCATCAACAGAAATTAATTCACAATCCCAAGACACAAATAAGCAACTCCTACTGCTGATCTTCTGCTTGTTCTGTCCCTAGTGTGGACCTAGCATGGACTGGTACCATTCCTAGCTAGCAAGTGGCAAACAGGCTGTGCATCAGTTTTACACCGTGACAGACAATTGGAGAGCATTTTCTCTGAGACCAGCAGACTCTGTCTTTTCCTGAAGTAAATTAAACTAAGTAGGGCTTTGGTTTGTCCCAAGCACATTAGGGTTCTAATATCACAGTAGCAGAGAACACAGAGAGAAAAAATGCAGAGACAAGGCAATGAAATTAAGAAGATTTAATCAAGATCACAAGCTGATCCTAGACCTTGAAGTGAACTTCTGTCAATGAGATGGACTGAAAACTAACAATGTACTACAGTGCACTGAAAATTTCATTTCTTAAAGCATAGTTCAAAATTCCCTTTTCAATTCTTGTGTTATGAGAAATATTTCTGAAAGAAGAGACATTTACTCCTTTATAATGGAAGCATGTAGAGCTCATGCTTTTTCCATATTGATGGCAAGATATTTGCATTTTCCACAGGAACAGCAAAATTAAGTTCCAGTCCAGTCTTAGTCTGTTGTTCTAAAGCTGCACAGTGACTAAGCTATTCCTCTATTTAAAGATATATCATTTAATAAAGCCATTTTTGTGTAGAAAACCAATTCTCTTTGCACTAGGACAGCTAAAGAGGTACATCTCTATAGCAAGGTCAAATAATTTATTGTCTATTATAGTATATAAAAGCAAAAATAGTTGCTACCTTCTGTTTCAACTTCAGAAGAAACAAGGTCCTGCTTTAATACATTGGTTTAGCTATTTCATGACAAGCAGAATATTTTCAGTCTGTTTGTATGTTCCAGAACATTCAGATTGTTTCCTGAAACTGTATTAAGGGTAAACAACTTTATCTTTGTCATTATGCTTTTCTTCTGACAGCCATGAAAAGACCCAGTATAATCTCATCACCTTGTATTTATCAGACTACTGAAAGCTCTGTCTGAGATTTCTTTGGGCCTACCAAGTATTAATTTAAACCACTACAGTCACTGATGTGCAGAGCTGAGGTATCTCCTTTCAGCAGGACTAAAATGTCTTTTGAATGGAGAAATACCTATATTAAAGTAATCCTTATCATAGAAAAGTTGGAGAACTCCTGGCTGAGAGTACTGGGAAACAGTGAGTGCTGAGTGGGAGCAGGGGGGAGAGAAGAGGAACAAAATCTAGTTTTTGGAGGGTATGGAGCAATGGGGCAGCAGAGCACCCATCTAATCCAACATTCTGTCTCCAGCAGAGGCTACAAGAAGATACCCAGGAGAGATAAGAACAGTAACATATGGTACTTTCTAAGTATCACTATTCCAATTCACGTGTTTAAATAAGGAATATGATGACCAGTGAAGCCATATATCCTTCACAGTTTATGGAAACAACACAGTCCAGAAATTTGTCTAACTAGCAAACTTAAATCCCAACCAGGAAAATAGATCAATGAGGCTTTTCTCACACAAGTCAAATTGAGAATTGGGACCAAAGCTGAAAAAAAGTTACCCAGCAACAGTTCTCTGACCTGAAAATTTATTTGCTTTTGGACACAGACTTAAGCAAGAGTTGGAAAAATGCAAAGGTGATAGTTGGGAAAGTGTCTGTGAGACTCTTCAAACAGAAATTGAAATTCTGCAAATGGTATGCCATTTAAATGATATATTTTAAGTGTTTGATAATTTTAGTTTTAAAGGTGTCCTTTAGAATGATTGGCAGTGGTTTTAGATAAGCAGTTTTTAATGCTGTGCACATACCTAGATATCCTCTTGATGCAGACATGCTCCAATATTAATTTGTTTCAGATTATTTCCAAATATACAGGAATATAATTTCTATAGCAAAGGAAAGCATGAAGATTTTAAAGATATTCTTTTAGCACAAGAAAGATGTACTGAGGGGGGATTTATATAAATTTTAGTTTATTGAAAGCTGCAAAAGATTATGCATTTAGGAGCTAAGTTAACCTTTACCTCCACCTGCCAGTTAAATGGAAGATGGGAGCATGGAGAAATAAAATGATAATAACATCCTTTCATCTAGTATTTTATTTTGTCCACTCACAAATTCCTTACAAAAACTTACTAAAACATGTTTTTCTCTGAATGTCAATCCTAACTTCAAATTTCTTGATTGTCAGTCTGTGTCACAATACAAAGAGAAAAAATATTTTGAAGTCCCTTCTGGGAAACAAAGAGGTTTTAAAAGTTCATTTTAGAGCCCCTGATTGAGCTGTACAAAGACACAGCTGCCACTACCATCAAGCAGAATGACAGTCCTGAGAAATTTGCATTACTCACTCTTATAATCAGTTTCAAGTTTCTGTTGAAGTAATGTAACTTACCTGTACTTTATTTTCTCATTAATTTGTTCAGAAAGAAAAATAAAACAGCTCAATGCTTAAAAGTTTCTCTGTAAAAAAATACTATACTCCATGTTTCATTTTCTACAATTCCATCCTTTCTCTTTTCCAGAATTTATCACAAAAGAAGTCTTCAGGGAAATGAATGAGATGTGGCATGTAACATGGAGTGTCATAGAAGCAAGTCTGAGAATTTTTAAATTGTTTTACTCTGGTTCTATCAGATTTGCTTCTATTTTCTGTTTGATTAATTCATACTTTGATTCTGCCTTTACTTTTAATTAAAATAAAGTTTGATTAATTTAAAACTGAGGGAAGGTTTGTGTTTTATCTTCACATTCAATAGCTATCCCTCTATAGGTTCATCTTTGTGGCCCATGGGTCACAGCACCTGGTAAACCACACATAAAGCTCAGTTCCTACATTACTAGCTCTATTCTTTAGGTACTATTTTTCAAATGAATGCTCTCTTATTTTTAAAGGTAGTGGCATGGTCTTATTTGAGAGGAAGACTGCTATTACCATCAATAACTCCTAACAGGAGCTGTGACTATTTCATTTATTCCTCAACAATGTAATTCTGTAATGAACTCCCTGGAATAGCTCAGCTCCAGGAACACAGCTTGACAGTCCAGAAAATTTTGCAGATCTGCTTAGCTCTAGGTGCCTCCAGTGGTGGTAAGCCTGGCTATTACTTAGCACTTGTCTTCTGATAACCCAGAGAATCTTTTTTCCCTCTCCCACAACCCACAAAATACAAGGTGCTTAACTTCAGCACTCGAGAGCAGATAAAACCTTATTCTAAATTAAAAGTCCACATTCCTAGAGGATTGGTGCAGAATTTTGGTCGAATCAGAATCCCTGTTCACTCCAGCATGTAGGATGTACTCCAGCCCCACAGTGGGAACTGACTTTATCATTCAGGTGCTTACAGTAAAACCATGTAAGAGCATTCACTCTGCTCAACCTCAGTCCTCTCTGTGGCCGTGGTCTCATCACATCCCACTGCTTGTGCAAGTATTTTTCAAGGCTTCCCACCTAGTGGTGGGATGGATAATTGCTCTTTGCTAGCTTTTCTACAACCTGAGCCCTCCAAGCTACAGTGAGTATCTGTCACACAATAAAACTACAAAAGATATTTTATTAAGAAGGGAGGAATAAATCACTTTGGAAGCTGACCAAATTCTGCCTTAGATGGAGAAAGTTTTTCCTCTTGGGATACAGCTGCCAGTTTGAAGTTTGGCAAGGTTTGATCTGCAGCACTGGTATCAAAGAGTCTTCTGATCCACTGGGTTAGCTAGCATAATTCCAAGTGGTTGGAATTATCATTCTTAATAGCCAGTGCTGTTGAAGCTGACATCCCTATAAGACTTTTTTTGGTCTCTTCCCTAAGAGAGCTCCTCTTAGGATTGCTTGATTTTAAACAACTTAGTCCCACAGCTTCTAGGGACCATCTGACTTCTAAAGTTAGGCAACTGCTGCTTGTGGGTTTTCATCAAATCCAAAATAATACAGTTATATATCAAAACATCTACAGGCAGCTAAAGCAGTATTATTTCTGAGTTTAATTGATGAAACATAAATCTGGGACTTGCTAGAATGACTGTTTATCTTGACCACTTTTTCTTCATTTAAGAAAACTTGCTTATGTTGAGTGTATTTGGCAGTCAACCAGGAAAACCTTCTTTTTAAACTTTGTGCTTGTCTACTTATAGTTGCTTTTATTTCTGAAAATCCTTGAATTTCTTTTTGAAATGGTCTCATATTTATACAGCACTTTGGTCCATATAGATTAAATATTCAGATAGGACATAAACCAGAGCTCACTGGCTTACCTCCAATGTATCTTTGAAATTTAGGTCTAAGTGGAATGAACAATAGTATCTAATAACTACCAATTAATACTATAGATTAATGTCCCGGTATCACCTGAAAAATAATCTGGAAAAGAAAATATGGTAAGTTCTTTTGAGAGACTTCAGATTCCAGCAATCCAGTTGAAAGTTCTGGTTTTTGTGTGTTCATGAAAGTCTGTGAAAGTCTGACTTCTTGATTATTGTAGTAGGATTACAGCATAAATATAGCAACATTTGTAATAACCCAAATGGCTAAAGCTTTCAGAATCAATATAAGAAAAAACCCCAAGAATAAAGATCATGAAAAAAAAGAAAAGTGAAACAGAAATCAATACAAATCCTATTGGGCTAAACAAATCCCTCAACAGCTCTGGAAAAAAGTATGCCAGACTAACCTAGTCATTGCAAAGTGAATGTAAGGCATACTAATTTTTTCAAGTATAAAAATACATTTGTCACCACTTTCTTAGGAGTAATGTAATTTTGGACAAACACAGTACTTCTGTTTTTAAGACTCAGAATAAAAACTAAGTAAAAATTTGTGTTCTGTGGATTTTTTTTTAATTGTCAAACTGAGTATGAGTAATCTTTCAAATAATGAATGCAAAAGAACCAAATCTTTTGTTATGCTTATTAAATACAAAAAAAGAAAAGAATTGCTTGGTTTCCATGAAAACACACAGCCTTATTATGAATAAGTGAATTCTTTCACAGATGACATAATAAAAATATTTTTCTAAGTGCAGGTTGCATATTAAATGGATGTATTTATACCTTTTTATGACCAAAAAAAAAAGATGAATTACGGATAAAGAAACCCTTGAAAAAGTTAATGAGAAAGAGGAAGACAGTACAAGCAAAATGTAGTATTATTATTATTATTCCAGAGGTGGAAAAAAAGGCTTTGGGAAAACTAGCTATGCTTCTATGCTGGACCTGGGAACAGTTGCTTCTTAGGATCAACAGATAAACAGTCTCTCATTTGTGAAGAGAGACAGAGATATACTTTATTTGCTTATTAAGAGCTCTGACAAGCATCAAGTCCTACCTCCTTCACAAAAGGGTGTTAAGTGCAGTTTCAGCTCTGGCTTCCAGTGCCTCGGCTGCTGTGACCACGTACCTGAGACAGCTGGGCAGCCTGATTTTATCACCAAATCACAGCTCCCAGCCATGCTTTGTGAAAGGCCTTCCCTGCCTAATGCAAACAGGGCACTGCAAAGGAAAATCCAGGATCCATTTGAAAAAAACAGAACAGGATAATCATCAGGTCAGGCCAGGGACATGAGACAGCTTGGGGAAAATCATGGGACTTTCCAAAAGAGCTTTCCAGCCAGGATGAGTAAGGACTGAGTACAGGCCCCTAAAGAGGCATCTGTTGAACCCTGAATTTACAAGATCACAGCCTTAAGACTTTGGAAGTATAGCAAGGACAGGTCAGGAGCCAAAGAAACTGAGATACACAATGACAAAGTCATGCTGCTGAGGAGCAGAAGACCCAAGAGCCTGCACTCCCAACAAGCCAGGACACAGAACACAAACCATCTGGCTTAACTGTGTAAAAACTGCCCCCATGACCTAATGTTATTTCTCCTGAGGTGAAGCAATTCTTGAAGCAAGGAACACCTAAATGTGGGGGGAAAAAACCCATGCAAATAAAAGGAATTAAAATGCAATTATTTTGTAGCTTATTGAAGAATGATTTAAGCTATCACATTTTCATGTTACTTTATTCATTATTATGAGCAGATTATTATGAACATTTCAAAGACTAACAAGAAAACCACTATAATACCTGACCACAGAATGAAATTACACTTAGCTAATGCAACAGTGCCCACGCAAATTATCTCTAATTGGTTGACACTCATATGATTGAGCTGCTGATAGTGCCAAATTAATGTCATAAAATGAAGAACAGCAAGAAAAGAAACTCATAAAAAACAGTATCTGTAACTGAATGACAGAATGAGTTAATGAGATTTTGTTTTTTGTATGACACGGGGAAAATACATCAACTGAGGTCCCATGTCCTTCTTAGCTGACCCAGGTTACAGGGTCCTCAGTCACAGAGGGAACTGGAAATCTCCAGCTACAGGGCTGGTTGCTTGCTTTGAGCTTGACAGCTTGATAGTTGATTAATCGAAAAAAATTAAATACCAAGATCTGTGTGGACCTGTTCAGGTGCTTTCTGCTCTATTATCACAGCATCCACCCAAGTGATTTTGGATGAAACTGTGGGTATCTCTTTATTGTCATGCAGCTCCATGTTTAACCTGATCCCAGCTCAGCTAAGCTCAGGTATAGAGCGAGTCAGCTGGCTTAGCACAAGTCATCTTCTGTTTGATAGTTCTTTATAACCCAAAAAAGGATTTCACCACTGACTGAGCTGGAGGAAGAGACTGGGCCCTTATAAAAAATCTCCAGATGATTTCCATGAAAAAGGTAACAGGCTTAGCAGCTATGCTACACACCCATTTTCAAGGATGATAATGCAATAAACAAATACTGGCTAAAGAGGACCAAAAGCAAAATAGTTCCAGTTCTGTGAAGTTAAATGTGGCACTACAGTGGAGTGACTGGGTAACAGATCAGTGATTCAATCAGACAGATCAACAGTTCCAATGTCTAATGACCTATCTCTTGCTTGTCAATAGAGTATTTAAGCAAGTGGTAGCTCTGCTTCTTATATTGATTGCAGCTGATATGTAGTGCTTACATATTGTAGTGATAGCCCCACCTTCCAAATTCCCATCATTCTTATTTTTCTGCTTAGGATTTGTCAGCCCCTTATCCAAATGGCTTTTGCAATTATTTGCTTGTTCAGTTGGTGAATTTTTGGGGCTGAGTTTATCAAGTTTCTAGATGCATTTTTTAATATTCTACACCAGGCTGCTGTTAGTAGCCCTTTGTGTAGCAAAGCATCTGTATTCTGGGCTGAAAAGCAATTATATTTACTAATACCTTCTTCTGCAGAAGGACAGTTTTCACCTGGCTCACAAGTAAAGCTCCTAAAGCCCAAACTGTCAAAAACACTTACAGACTCTGAGTTCCAAGGAGGGGACATGCCACCTCCCATTCTCTGAAGGGCCAAACTCAAGGCACATCCAGACATTGACAGTCACCTCGAGTCACCCTGCTGATATTTGTTGGGTTTGAATGTTTTCAGCAGGAGACTGCCATCAGCAGAAGGTTTATTTTTCTGTTAATTTTTGACTAAAATTTTATCAGATAGCATCATACTTGATCACTTTGCATTTTAAAATACTATGCTATCTACCCTCTAAATTTC